CAGAATTTGATCAGGTTTCTGCACTGCATGCATGTCTTTCTGTTTTCCCAAGAGAAAAAGGTTTTTAGTTGATTAATTTGTAGATGAGCTACCACCCAATTATTGTATTATGCAAATTTTCCATTTAACTTGAAAAGCCTAAATCCAACATCATGCAGTATAATCATTCTACAAGCCTAAATCCCAAGATTTTTCCTGCTTTATTCTCTGGCTGTCCTCATCCAGACTCTTCCATGAGATTCATGGACAAATCACCAACAGAAATCAATCATATCCAGTAAGTTGAAATCATAATATCATAAATGTTGGGTACCAAGGGGGCGGGGGTAGACTTGATATGGTAATAGGATTAACCTCTAGAATTTTAGCATAAAGTGGCTGCTCTCAAGACTTGAACTCATGTTTTTACACTTCTGACCATTGCACCAAGTAGCATCCCCTTGCAGTGCATTACATGTCTTCAAGAATTGAACCAGAAATTTTCTCTTGGGGTGAGTTAGGGTGATGGTGGTGGGGCAAATGAAAAGTACCAAGGAATGAAATTTTCAATTCAATGAAATGAAGGCTTTATTTTACCAAGTAGCAGGGATGTATAACACAATTTTTCACGTGCATGGAAATGCAAGAATTTTAAATACATGCAGCCCTTTCACATCACCATCAAATTATGATATCAAAGATCCTTGTATCACCTGGAACTCTTTTTTAGGTGACTTGTTCAGCATAGATTATACCAAAAGGTCTTGTTAATTGGTTAAAGAAGAAAAACAGTCCAAAATAATGAATGGACTGATTTAAAAGTTGTGAAAAAATATTAGAAATCAGCATCAAAGAGAAAAGAAGAGGAGAGAAGAAGATGGCAGCAATAGGGTTTTGGGAGAATAATCAATCGAATATTACTCCCTTCCCTAATCCTTTTCATTAAACATAATTTACAAAGTTTTGGTATTTACAGAGAGGCCCTTAATTGGGCAATTAAATTAATTAAGCATAACATAAAGAAACATAAAAGGCCCATTAACAAAAGAAACAGAAACAAACAATTAAAAAACATCCTATGGGTCATTCGGCCCATTCTCTCTACACTCCCCCTCAAGCTGAGCATGGATGTCAATCATGCCCAGCTTGCCAATGTCATGTTGTAGTTTGGCCTTGGAGATTCCCTTGGTAAGAATGTCAGCTAACTGTTCTTTAAATGTAATGAATGGTAGACAAACTTCTCCAAAAGCCACTCTTTCTCTGATAAAATGCTTGTCAACTTCAATATGTTTAGTCCTATCATGTTGCACCAGATTATGAGCAATGTTGATGGCTGCCTGATTATCACAATATAGCATCAATGGCTTATCATACTCAACACCTAGTTCCTCCATCAAGGATCGAAGCCAAAGTAACTCAGAGACTCCATGAGCCATAGCTCTGGCAACAACTGATTGTTTCTTGCTTCTCCAAGAAACAATATTACCTACCACCATGATACTGTATCCAGAAGTTGACCTCCTATCATCAATGTCTCCCGCCCAGTCAGCATCTGTGTAAGCTTCCAGTTTCATATGACCATGCTTAGCAAAAAGAATTCCCTTTCCAGGAGTACTCTTCAAATAACATAAAATTCATTCTATTGCTGCCATATGAGTGTCCCTGGGAGCATGCATGAACTGGCTAATGCATCTGACAGCATATGTAATGTCAGGCCGAGTCATGTAGAGATATAGTAGTTTCCCTAGTAACCTTTGAAACACTCCCTTATCCTTCAATAGTTCTCCATTAGAGGCAGAAAGTTTGTGACATATCAATAAGAATAGCCACTGGTCTTGCACCCATCTTGCCTGTTTCAGTGAGCAAGTCAGGCACATGCTTTCGTTGAGAGATAAAAACTCCATCCTTAGACCGAGCCACTTCAATGCCAAGGAAATACCTCAACTCCCCCAGATCTTTGATCTCAAACTCTGTATGAAGGAAAGATTTATGATCATTAATCCCTATCACATCAGTACCAGTCACTACTGTATCATCAACATGGACTATAAGATATACCACCAATGAATCTCTCCTCTTCACAAAGAGGGTATGATCAGACTGAGTCTRTATGTAACCAAAGTTAACAAGGGCAGCCCTAAACCTTTCAAACCATGCCCTAGGTGACTGTTTGAATCCATAGAGAGACTTCTTCAACTTGCACACTTTTCCCTCCATGTCTATGCCATACATCCCTGGTGGGAGAGACATATAAACTTCCTCATGTAACTCTCCATTCAAGAATGCATTTTTCACATCTAACTGATAAAGAGGCCAATCTAAATGAGTAGCCAATGATAGTAGAACCCACACAGATATCATCTTTGCAACAGGAGCAAAAGTCTCCAAATAGTCAATCCCATAAGTTTGTGTATAGCCTTTTGCAACCAACCGAGCTTTGTACCTCTCAATGGAGCCACCAACATKGTATTTAATTGTGTCCACCCACTTACAGCCCACTGGCTCCTTCCCTTTAGGCAAATCAACCACTTCCCATGTGTCATTCTTGTGCAGAGCATCAATTTTAGTTCTCATAGCATCCTTCCATTTTGGAAAAGTAAGGGATTCTGATACAGATCTAGGTATAGGGTTAGAAGCAACAGAAGAAAGGAAGACATAATATGAAGGAGAAAGCATGCCATAGGAAAGATGTTTGGAAATGCAATGTACAATACACTTCCGTTTACCTTTCTTGATAGCAATAGGAACATCAAGATCTAGGAAGGGTGGTTGCAAAGGGATGGTATCAGTACCTGTTGTCTCTTCAGTAACTGGAAGTGTAGGAGACTCATGTGATGTAGAGGAAACAATCTGCTCACTTTTGATCTTTTGCCGCTTGTACCACTGGGATTAAAGAGGGGTCAAGGAGGTAATGGAGGAATAGGAATATTGAAAGAAACATGAGATGATTGTTCCTCCCTTGACTCATTAAGAATAGGAGGAGACTCAAGAGGAGATTCAACAGGGACAAGAAGGGGGAGTGCAAATAACTGTAACAAATGCTCCCCCTGTGAACAATGCTTACCCAGAGAAGAGTCATAGAAAGGAGTGGACTCATCAAAGGTAACATCCATTGAAACATAACGAGTTCTAGTGTTAGGATCAAAACAACAATAACCCTTCTGTGTGGAGGCATAACCAAGGAATATGCACTTGTGGGCCTTTGGTTCAAATTTGTCTCTGGGCACTAGAAATGTGAACATAACAAATTCATGGAACTGCCTCACAAGTTTGGGAACTTCATCTCGGGATCTCATAAAAAATAACCAAGTATATCAAGAGAAGTCGTCAATGAACTAGATAAAATATCTATACCCTTCCATAGAGGGTAAATGGTATGGCCCCCACACATTAGAGTGCACAATATGAAAAAGAAAGGATGATCTTTTATTACTCAAAGGATAATTGCTTCTATAATTTTTTGATAACTTATAGGACTTACAGTGAAGATTGGACAAGTTAATTCCCTTAAACAGGTCTGGGGATAGATGACTCAAAGCAGAAAAAGATAAATGACCTAAACGAAAATGACATAACATGACACGACTGAAAGACTCTGAAGAGGTAGATCCAAAAGCAGCTTTCCCAGGTTGTCCTTGGCTTTGTCCAGGAGTATCCAACAGGTATATTCCGTTCACCTCATGGCCACTCCCAATTACTTTCTGAGACTTCAAGTCCTGGAAAACACAATAAAAAGGAAAGAAGGTTACACTACAGTTCAATGATTTAGTTAGGCTACTCACAGACAGTAAATTAGTATTCAATTTAGGGACATGAAGAATAGAAGAAAGAGAGAGAGAGTCTGTAGCCTTGATATTTCCCTTGCCAGAGATAGGAGCAAGTGAGCCATCAGCTAGGGTAATCTTATCACGGCCAGGAAGCAATAAACAAAGTGGAAAGGCTGGTCATATGATCAGAAGCACCAGAATCAATAATCCAAGGGATTCTACGACTACCTGAGATAGTTACATGATTGGTAGTAGCACGTATACCTGAATGTGCAGATGCAGAGGGTTGGAAGAGACTGCACTCTCAAGGTGACTGATCATCCTCCCATACTTCTCATATTCTACCTTCATAATTGCTAACTGCTCACTAGCAGTCCTCTCATCCGTTAAGCACCTGTCATTATCTGGGACTATGGCTGTGTTGGCACTTCCTGGCTTCCCATTATTAGCCTTCTTTTGAAAATGAGGTGGAAGGAGTTTTGGATGCAATTTCCAACATTTATCTTTTGTATGTTTTGGTTTCTTGCAGTACTCACATACAACTTCCCTTTTTCCTGAACCACCTGAACTGCTTGTAGTCATCTTCGATTTCAGCCCCATATTAGCAAAGTGGTCACTTGGGATGGTCCCTTGAACCTAGACCAGCCTCATGTCAAGAATTCAAATACCCTATTCCTCTCAACCAATTTCCTATATGTTTTAGCATCATTAGTGCTTTCCCAAACAACGGTTTCCATTAGGTCTATCTCTTGCCACAGGGATTTCAGCATTGAGAAATAAACAGCTAAAGGTCTCTCTCCCTACCTTAATATATTCACATCACTCCTTAACTTATATGCCCTGGCAACATTAAGTTTTTGTGAGTAAGTTTCAACCACACTATCCCATATTTCCTTGGCTAAATTCATCCATAAATAATGTTGACTGATTTGTGGTTGCATTGAGTTCACTAACCATCCAAATGATAGTATAATTCTCTTGCATCCATTTTTCATTAGATGGGTCATCTTCCGGAGGTGCTTTCTTGCTCCCGGAGATATACCCCCAGTTGCCTCTACTACAAACATGAATTTTTACTGACTACGACCATGCTAGATAGTTGGTTCCATCAAGCTTGATTGTGGTCACAGCCAACAGTGAGTCTATGAGTGCTCCCGGAACCTGTCCGGATTCTGCCCCACACTTATTTTCAACTCCCAAGATATCCATCTTCCTCAAACAACTCTAAAAGAACTTCAAACAGCTTCAAATGATAAGCAAGGAAGACAGAAAAAAATCAGACACCAAGTACCAACCTCTATGGTCGTATCTGCCAGCTATGTCTCACCCGGAACCCGGGAGAAATCAAAAAACAGCAACTGCTCCTTGTAGGCTTCACAAAACACCACAAGACTTGGATTGACCTTCAAGATAAAGAGAACGAACCCCCTCAGTCACTGAGCACCAAGGTGAAGCTCCCTGTGGGGCCCACAATCAGAATTCTCCAATTGATTAGGATTTTGGGCAAAAAACTCCAGGGACTATCAGAATGATGACCAAGACAGCATCCTTTTCTCCAGAAATCCACTAACAACTGGGCTGAAAGTTTGTTCAATCACTCATTCGATTCAGCTCTCCATACACACTGTGTATGGGAAAAAAAGAATAAAAAGAAGAAAGAGAGCCCGCTCTGATACCAAGAAGAAAAACAGTCCAAAAGAATGAATGGACTGATTTAAAAGTTGTGAAAAAGTATTAGAAATCAGAATCAAAGAGAAAAGAAGAGGAGAGAAGAAGAAGAAGAAGATGGTGGCCATAGGGTTTTGGGAGAATAGTAATCGAACATTACTCCCTTCCCTAATCCTTTTTATTAAACATAATTTACAAAGTTTTGGTAGTTATAGAGAGGCCCTTAATTGGGTGATTAGCTTAATTAAGCATAACATAATGAAACATAAAAGGCCCATTAACAAAAGAAACAGAAACATAAACAAATAAAAAAATCTTATGGGCCATTCGGCCCATTCTCTCTACAGTTAACTACATAATCACCAAATCACCTTTCATCCATCCAATGGGAATATCAAATAGTTATGATAATTTAAACATACAACACTTGATGAGTTAAGGTACTCACATACAATTAAGAATCCATAGCTCCATCCCAGGTCATAACATACTATATCTACACGTATATGCCAAAAAAATGCCAAAGGTTAGGTCTGCATCCAGTCCACCTCTCCCAAGACCCTAGATAGCTAGGAGCAACGTTGGCCGGAGCATTCTGGAGCCTTTTAGAGTGTTCATTGAGCTGGGATGAAACTTATTGAACATTGTAGAGAGTTCCATGGCCTAGAAGAGTTATAGACTGTTGTAGACATCTCTTGTAAATATCTAGACTTAGGATTTTCTAGAATATTCTCTACAACGTTCCACCTAAGGAGGTGTAACTTGTGGTTGTAGTAAGGACGTGTTAAGTGTCTTGAGTGTTTGTGTGTGTTATTGTGTTCTCTTAGCACTTAAATTCACCAAGCAAAGTGATCTTGGGTAGGGAAATCTAACTTGCTTGTGGGGACAAGTAACTGCCGTACAAAATAGGGAAGGCAAGGTCAGGTAGTGACATATAGCAACCTAAACCCCAAGTCTTTGCACCAATGGCAATGATAATTAAGTTAATAGTCCCATGCACAATTCTTCCCTATTTACCCCTTGCCCAGATAGGGAAATCTGCCACACCATTTGCTGATGYATGRATCTACACCAATATCACCCCTATCTCCCAGGCTAGCTTTCTAACCTGTCTCAAAGATTGTTGATGGCACTGAAACACAATACATTTCTCCACACACTTGCATCCTGGGCCTTGAATGTGGGAAATCCAATGAACCATCTCTTTTGTCCGATGTAATTGTGTATTCAAGATCTGGAATATCTCTTTTCTCATGGATTGACTTTCTTTTTCTGATCAATGAAGAGAAAAATCATCCATTCCATGATTTGAAATAGATTACAAGAGCTCTCCGGTTTTCCATGTATTGTCATTCGATGTTGAGCTTATTTTCTTCCTCAACTTGTAATATAATATCACCAGCAAAACATCTGTCTATAAATCTAGAGTCACTTAACACATTAAGAAAATCATGACACCACCCCTCACTGCCAACTGCACTGCTAAAGCAACTTTACATCGTATGACTGCCCTTCGTTTTCCAGTAATCCATCAAAACCCTAGCCTGTCACCCAATCCCACCCTTGAAATAAATTAAAATGACCTCCTGCCAGACCACAGATCCTCATCGGCACTAGCTTTCTCATCACCAAAGCTACCAAAACAGCTTGAACCAGAGACACCAAAGCTACCACCAGATCTACTTGAACTAGAATTACCAAAGCTACTAGAGCGACCTGAACCAAATTTCCCAAACCCAATGGAACAACCTGAACCAATGTCCCCAAACCCACTGGAACAACCAGAACCACCAAAATTACCAGATCTACTGGGGCCATCATTGACAAAACCACCACCAAATCACCCTGAATTTGATCCACCATATCCACCCATACAATCTGATGGACTGCCAAAACCAGAACTGCATCCAAACCCAGAAGGGCCAGAACTACTATAGCCACCAGCATGACCAAAACCTGAGTCACTTAGCCGACTACCTCCCAGACCTCCATAAGAGCCAAGCCTACCACCACCACCCATATCACCAAACATATCAGGGCTTGCTGGGTCAACAGGAATCCTGGGTAGCTCTGTAAAGTGTAAACCCACATCCCACATCCCGCTCAATCATCCTGACAACCCTGACCTGCTGTTCTGTATAGATGAGAACTGCACTTTCTTTCCAGTACGACCTGTTTGATCAGATATGTGAACAAAGATCTCTGATGTGCTTGGAAGCTCATAACGTATCACCAGATCAACACTAGGTATATCAAGTCCACAAGCAACAACATCTGTAGCAACTAAAATGTTAAAGTGCCCATCTCAGAAGCCAGAAAGTGTCCTTCTGGTTTTGAGAGATAACCCCATGAAAAACTTCACATCTAAAACTGCACCCCATAGCATATGCCAACCGATCAGCATCACAATTTGTTTGAGTAAAAACAATACACCTGCCTCCTTTTAGCATGTTCTGTTATCAGGGGTCCAATGGTTGATGCCTTCCCATACATGTCTCAAGCAATCGAATATAGAGAAATTCTGTCTGCCAATTACTGATCAGAATCCCCAACAAGATCAATAGTAAATGGATTGTTAAGATACTTCTGTGTTAGCTTTCTTATCCAGCTTGGCATGGTGGCAGAGAACATCATGCTTTGTACTGCATTCTAAAGACATCCATTAATTCTTTCAGAGTCAGAACCATCATTTTTAAGTATTTAAGCAAAAATTTGTGGAAATGTTTCGCTTGCAAAAATTTGGTGGAAATTGCTAGAAAGAAATATTAAAATTAAAATCCTCAGAAAACAGGGAGCAATCCTATAAGATAGCAAAGGTAGTATTTGTTAGCACTATTCTTTTTCTTGATAATCAATTAGTGCTATTCATTGAACTCGGTTTGGAGATTTCAATATGGCATTTTTTGATAGTGGACTGTATGTACTGCAACCCCTTAGGGTGATGGGAAAGGGTAAAGTTTTGGAATTGAAATGACTAAAATATTGGGTCTAGGGATGTTTTGGGGTTACTCCTAGGATATTCAATGAATTAAAAACAGGTGTCTTAAACAAGTAAAAAACAAGAAGAAATTAAGAAGCTAAGGAGAGGAGAGAGGAAGAGAGAAGATAAGTTTTGAGGCTCAAAAAACTAGGCTGGCAGCACATAGTATATTATTTATATTAGAGTAACAACAGTTATACACAAGATGATATAAAAAGACTAAAATGCCCTTGCATCACTAATAACAGAATTATAACACTCCCCCAAGTTGGGAAATAGAATTACAACACTCCCCCTCAAGTTGGCAAGTTGGGAAATAACTTTAACTTCAATGTGTTTGGATCAACTGTGGAGAACTGAATTTAAGGCTATGCTGATGGCTGCTTTATTGTCACAATGAAGTGACATAGGGCTGTCCAAAAACAAACCCTAGCTCTACCAACAAGTTCATTATCAATAAAACTTCTGCAACGCCATGTGTCATAGCCTTGTACATTTGTACTCCACTTTGGTACTAGATCTAGCAACTACACTTAGCTTCTTGCTCCTCTAGGTAATCAAATTACCCCCTACAAAGGTACAATACTGCTGAGTTACTGCTCAACTTCAAGGTCTAATTCAAGGGTAGACCAACCTCCTACAGCTACAAGAAGAAAGGGAGATACAAGGAGAAGAAAAGAATTGGAGCCCAACAAAACTGTTTCATTCCATTCTGCCCTAATTATTTATATACTGATGTATATATATATATATATATGTTTTGGAATGGTAGAATACTGATGTATTTCATTCTATTGCCAATTGGCATATTTATACAGTAAGCTGCTGCAATAAATAGAAAGAAAAGAAAATAGAAAGTAGAAAAATAGAAAGAAAAGAAAATAGAAAGAAAAAACTTTCTAAATCAATCCTTCCACAATCCTAGGAATATATACAATTMTATTTTCAGATCTGAACCARTAACCCCACATTTTCCAACACTCCCCCTCAAGCTGGTGAATAGAGATCCTCCATTCCCAGCTTGGCTATAATTCTYCGAAAATCTGTACTATTGAGCCCTTTAGTAAGTACATCGGCCAGTTGTCCTTTTGTAGACACACCTGATTGCTCGTGGATCCAATTTTCCCTTATTATGGACATGAACAAAGGCAGTGCAGCCAAAAATTCTTGGTGTGAGATTATTTGAGGTTCGAATATCA